TTGAAAGAGTTTGGAGAAAGAGTCCAACTCGCATAGAAGAGTAAGTTCAATTTTTAATTAGCATTATTAATAATTGACAATTTAACAACATCCTGTCTATTTTTACAGTACCGACGAAGAAGATGAAATGTCTAATAAATTAAAGGACAAAGAGATTTTTAGCAATAGAAAACGGAAGAAAAAAGAAAAGAAGAAGGTATTTAGTTTATTCACTTATTTGTAGTATAGATATTTGAATGAACACATTTTAATTTGCTCTTGTAGAAAAGTAAAAAGTTAAAAAAAGAGAAAAAAATGAAAAAAGAAAAAAAGAAAAAGAAGAAGAAGAAAAAGAAGTATTCGAGTAGTAGTTCTGACAGTAGTTCTGACGAAGAGGAACAGTGGGTTGAAAAAACTGCTCTGATTGCTAAGTCAAAAGTTAAGAAAGATTCCAATTCTGATGAAAGTGGGGAAGATGGTGTTGTGGGACCAGTTCAAAAACAACATGTTACACTTTCCGCTAAGGATTTTGGAAAAGCTTTATTGCCTGGAGAAGGTGCTGCTATGGCTGCTTTCGTTGCAGAAGGCAAACGCATTCCTAGGAGAGGAGAAATTGGATTAACGTCTGAAGAAATTGCTTCGTACGAGTCAGTTGGATACGTAATGAGTGGTAGTAGGTATGTCGAAAAATTGTTAATAATTATTCATAATATGACTGTATATTTATCAATATAGTTACTTAAAGAAGAAAAAATTAGGTATAACAGTAGGACAACATTTGTGGTAAAATTAAATATTAATTTTCTAATTTTTCTTTATCTTTACTTTTCATTTAAAAGACACCGACGCATGGAAGCTGTACGTATTCGTAAAGAAAATCAAATTTATTCAGCTGATGAAAAGAGAGCGCTTGCAATGTTTAGTAAAGAGGAGAGGCAGAAAAGAGAAAATCTTATATTAGGACAATTTAGAGAAATGATAACGCATAAACTTGCTCAAGAGCAAAGTAAAAAATAAAAATTTATTACAATGTAAAAATCGAAATAGCAAATATATTTGATATTTCAAAATATATCTGTTATTTTTATGTATATTAATTATTAATGAAAAAATCTACATATTTGAATATTTGCTTTAATTCTAATTTATTTTAAACAATACAATATGTAAATAAACTCAAAATACCTTATAAATACATTGTAATAATTGTACATTATAAAAAATAAATAATTGTTTTATACATAATAATTAATATTTAATTTTTTTAGGCTTTTATGTATCGCTTAATTTTTTTGATGACTTTCCCAATCAAGCCATCCTCCCAAGTAATTATGTACACTAAAAGAGACAGAATATATCAATAATTTAAAATAAAAAAAAATAATCATCCAATATCAATTTAAAATTATACTTTTTATATCCTAATTTTTGTACATCCAATTGTGTCATTGCACTTCTTCGACCAGATTTGCAGCTCAAAATAATTTTAGTATCATGTACAGGTTTTTGTCGATTGAATTTCTTTTCAAATTCTTTATTCGTAAGACTTAGTAATGAATTTGTCACTTCATGCACTAAAATAGAATTTATAATTTTATAACAAACTAATTTATTGAAAAGTATTGATTCTATCTTAAAAAGAAAACTTACTTGGAATATGAACACTTCCTGGCAATTTTCCTGTTTCTTCTATTTCATAATTTTCTCTTACATCAATAATTAAAATATTTTCATCTTTTTGCGCTTTAACAATGTCATAATAATTGACATGAAGATTTTCGCTGCTTTGCTCACTCATTGCCTTTGATAAAATGGATGTTTTATTTCTATTTATAAGACAATGCATGTTTTTGTCTTAAAGCATAACAGACAAAGATATATTATGAAACAAATAATTATAATATCAATACTTCTAAATAAAAAATAATGACTCGTAGAATGTTATATTTGTTCTATATCTTCTACTTACCTAGTGAGGTTATGTAATTTTGTTGCTGATAGCAATTTATTGAAATACAAGAATGTGAATCTTTAGGAGTCAGGAATTTAGTAAATGACGGCAAAGTTTGCAATTGTTGCCCTACTTTAAAACGATAGGCAGAATTCAATAAAGAAATTACCGATTTGTTTGCAACAATCATCTCTTCAAACATTTATGATATTTGATCTCCAACTACTTACTATTCAATGACATAACTATTTATAATCGGGAAAAGACAAAAAAAAAAAAATTTGAAATAAATTATCCTCTAGTCTTAAAAATTTGAAAAATTCATCTAATGTATTTTTGGTAATAAACATTTTACCAAATACATTCCCAAGTACACAACTGCATGGGCATATATATACACGTATTGTATAAAATTGAAAAGTATTGTTAATTACTTTAAAGTAATTAGTAAAATTGATACCACAAAGGCATCAAGCCGTTAACAATTTTGATAATTAATCGCAGACAATTTTTAATTATTATTAAAACTCTAAAACGAGAATTATCATTGCTATAATTTCATAAAAGAAAACACGCGTTAAAAGTCTGCGCGTATTTTTTACGAAAAATTTTATTTTACGACTTTTTATCAAATCATGACGACGATCAACAAATATATTTGTAAATTGTATGTATAAAATCAATATTGTGATATCTGTTTGGAAAGGTTTTTTTTTTGTTTCTCGCATATTTTTCCAATAAATTTTATTGTTCAATAAATTGTAAATTGTATGAATCTCATAATACTAACAGCAACGGTAAACGTGCGTTTATATTTATTATTAGCGTATCGCATGCATATTATTGACTAAATATGTTTAATTCCTATCGACTTTTACACATATTGTATAACAAATGCAAATACATTGTTAATATGGAAATCAATTTCAATTCAAGATTTTGCTACATTTATTAGCTTGTGTGAAAAGTAAGACGTTATTTGACAATCGCTACAGCCTGATATGTATTACTAAATTTATCAATTTATGTATTTGATGGGTATAAAATTTGATAATAAGCCAATTAATCTTTATAGTATTTGATTTCATTCATTATTATAAGCTCATCCGAAATAATTAGACCAACATTAGGCCATAATGTATATACATGTGTATAAATTTACTTTAGGAAATCAAGTATGGTATTCTTTAGTACCTGTCACACCTTATTTCTTTTCAAATTCCTTACTAATTTTGCTTTCCGCTCGATAATCTCACACACCACGAGGTGTGCGACATGTACAGACAGTTTCTTTTATAATGCTTAGTCGCATAAGATCCTTGTCGCCTTGTGCTAAACATTATAAGCCCTCGAAGACGTAAAGACGGTAAAAATCATATGTCATATAAAAATCCCGATATTCCCTAATAATATATGTATATTTAAAAAATCGCTTTTTGCGATCTTTCCGACTTGTTTATCACTCTCTGCCCAACGCTCATCCCGCTCTATCCAATTTCATTATACCTTACGCATTGCCATGACGCTCGTCTATACGCGCCTGCCCGCCCACTCTACATTTTCTCCCGTCGCGCGCATTGCTATCTCAAGCGGGTCGAGACCAAATAATACTCTTATATCCTCCTCCTCCTCCTCCTCCTCCCCGCGACCGTCACTTTACCGATGGCTCGCTGTCTCTCGCCTACTTCGGACATTTATTTGTCGTTGGTACACAGCCGGCTATTAGCGCGCAGACAAGGGCAGAAGAGTTCGTGAGAATCGTCGGCGTTGCGGCGGGCTTATCGAAATCATCGTAATTTCAGCAGCCAAACAATGACAAATCTCCCGAATCACGGGCCACGACCGCTAGGGTCATTAGGAACGTCCGCTCGAGCGAGACAAACGGTCGCTGCGGACTCCAGCGCTGCCTCCGTACGCCGGCCGCGGCGCTGCGACTCGTCTCTTAACCCTCCTCCTACTCCCACTGCCTCTCACTCCGGCAACGCGAGCATGCCCACGACTCCCTTCCCCTTCGACGAAATCATCTATTGCGCGGACGTATCTCCGGGTCCCTCTCTCTCTCACTCTCTCTCTCTCTCTCTCTCTCTCTCTCTCTCTCTCTGTCCCTCGTTCATACGCTCCCCCACTTGCTCCACATAACGAGCGCGGCGGAGAGGACGGAGAGCCTTCGGTCTGGTGCTCGACGTCTGTGCCCTCTGCCGAGGAATGCGACAAGCAGGAGGGATTTTTATTTCTTGTGTGCGCGGAGGAGTTCGGGAGTTCGAGAGCATATTAAAAAAGTTCTTATCCCCCCCGAAGCCCGCAGCCGCATCCGAAACGCGAGTACTGCAGCACGGTTAGGGTCGTTGGTGCATCTTGGGCACGCGGACACATCGCCGCATCCTCGCAATTTCTCCTCGGATCGCGTGAGTAACAATTAGATACATACACACATTATTGGTAAAAGCGTGCGCAGGTATGTACGCATGCATTCACACATACACGCGCACGCACGCACGCTGGGACGCACGCAGGGACGGGTAGACGGACAGATGAACGATCGAACGGATGGATGGATGGACGGATGGACGGATGGACATACGTACGAACAAACGCATGCACGCACGATACACGATTATACGCACGTATGAGCAAATTTATGTATGCACGTACGTATGCGAACGGAGGTGCACACGAGCGTTTATGCGAAAGCGTATCCGTAAAAACCAAGGGATAAGATATTCCTTTGGCATTGTTCTGTAGGCCCACAGAGAGGCCCCGCGAACCTCAATTTTCCATGTCCATGAGAGCGTTGCGCGCGCGTCCCTCTGCTCGCGTCTCCGCGATCCGCCGTCGTGGTCATTCCCAGCCTGGCTTTCCGACGATTAGCTTTTGTTTATGGATATATATATATATATATATATATATATATATATATATATATATATATAAGAATATTTTCTTCGATGCAACATCTCAGCCCATTATTTTGACCCTTTCACATCGGGACAATCGCTGTTTTCGGCTTTTCTTGTTTGCCTGTGCTCTCATGAGCGTCCGTCCTTTTAATTTCTTCTTTGCCGGGCCCGCAAAATATAGCCAGAATAAAACGAACGGACACGCGGTTCTTCAGTAGCTACCCCTCCCCCAGCCCCTCCAATTTCTCCACGCGCAACTAACCGCTTAATAATTTGCGGCTTAATAACGGCCGCGTAAAAGATTGTCTGCAATTATTAAAATGGAAATCGCGCGGAGGTATTTCAAGGATTTTAAAGGCCCAGCGACGCGGCGGAGGAGGTCAGAAACGAGTCGGGAAGGTGCAAAGCTCGATTAAATTAAATTCCCGCGAGAGGCGTTTCGCAACTCGGCATTGCGAGACCGAGAGAGATGGAAAAGCCCGATATCTTCCGATTATCAACATTCCAGAGTGTTGACACTGACTCCGATTGTTGCAGCCGCGCGCGTGCCTCTCTTCCCCTTCCTGGGCAGCAGCAGCTGCTGCTCCGTTCCTTCTCACGCTGTCTCTCTCTCGCGCCAATATAGTCAAACAAGTATCGTACGCCGTCCTCTGTTAGTCTGTTCATCTGTCTCACTCTCTCCCCCTTACGCGCGCGCTCTCTCACACATACACTCTCTCTCTCTCTCTCTCTCAGTATATATATAATGCTTGCGTTAGCCCGAATGCGCATACGTGCGCGTGCGTACGTATATCTCTGTTTAACTGATGGAGAGAAGCTGCGACTCTGCCCTGTCTCGACAAAGAGTCTTGGAAAGATAGGGAGAGCAATATGTTTTCTACTCGTTCTAAAATCAAAATGTTTTCAGACTCCTCCTACTTCTCCATGCTGCCTCTTTACTTGATTTATCTGTCGTACGCCGATACTAGTTTTTTTTTTTTTCCAATACGATTCAATACCAAAGGTGTTTAGGAATTCGGAAAATTCAATATTAAGAGCGGTAATTTGACGATACTCCCCCCATGCTTTTCCTTTGACGATCGTAGACCGAAGGTCAGCAAAAATATTTTTTAGCAGTTGATCGAGGATGCATTTATAATGTCTACGTAATTATATACGCGAGTATAATTGTATAATTATTATTAACAACTTATCGATTCGATTAGGAATAATCTGTTCTTAGATAAATTACACAATTAGATTAGATAAGTTTATTTTCAATGTTTGCATTTTAAACTGATATACTAATTGAGTTGGGATCTTAAAAATGCACAAATATTTCGCGATTATCCGCTTGTCACAGTCGTAAGAGAAGATATTTATGATTTTTTTAGTTTAAATTATGAAAATGATTTCCACGTGGGTCGCATAATTACTTAAATACCCAAGCCAAATGTGACGAATAAAAGCCGTTTCAAAGTACCTTGAATATATTAAAACATATTCAAGGTCTCTGGAATTAATCTGTACTATTGAAATGTTGTGTCTATCAATTTTTAATTTAATTTAACTATTGCAATTGTTGTGTCTATCAATAGTTTAATTAAATTGGTAATGTGTTTAAACGTAAATTTATAATCAATCATTTAAATGTTTTAAAAGATGCATATGTAATATAAAGTGCATTGCTTGAGTTCATCCAAATAATAGAAATTTTCTTACTTTTGTATGTATATTCATAGAACTGAAAGGTTTGGTATATTTTAAAATTGTGTTTAGTTAAAAACAGGATGATCACATGTGTAAGTTTATTTGTCTTGGCACTTTGAACATACGAGATGTTAATTAAAAGTAATTTTGTTATCATAAATAAAACCAAATATTCAATGATATATACAATATTGTTTTTACTAACACTTGTTATCATTTGTAGATAAGCAGTATGTAAAACACGAGTTTTGTTTTGGAATTTTCAAAACAAATATTTGAATAAAAAAAGGCGTTAAGATAATACATCTGCTTATCTGTGCTGAGAAAATTTATTTTCAGTTCATTATACTTATTACAGATCGAGTGATGTAATTATAAGCTTAAATAAAGAATTTAAATTTTAAAGCTGGTTGAGGCTTGTTCGTATCGAATAATAAATTCAATAATTTTTATAATAATAATAATTTTTTTCCCATAACCATTATGTCATTGCAGCTCTATATTAATTAGAAAATCTTATATTAATGAAATTTTTTTTCTATTCATTGCAGATTCGAGAAATATTATTTAAATGAATGCATAAAGTCATGAGTTCTCTTCAGCAAACTGGACGATTTCTTCCTTTTGCAAATAGTAATATACAAAGAAAACAGTTATCAAATCAAGGTAGAATGATATTAAATTCGTTTTTATATCATTTGCTTTTAAAATACAAAGCACATTTATTTTTTACAAGTTTCTCATAAATATTAAAAGATACGCGTACATATTAATTCATTAGACAAAATAATATTTATAATTATGTGCATTTATATATAAAATCAAAAGTAATAATTTTATTGAATATGTTAGGAGGTTTACCACAAAGTTTAAGTGGTAGTGATACAGATGTTTCCACTTCGAATGAAAATTTAAGTAACGAAGAACGATATGTTATAAGACATACAGCTCGACAAGAACCACAAGGACAAGAAAATCAGCAACATAGCCCCACAAGATCATCGAGTCATAAAGAAAATATACCCAACATTCAGGTAAAATTTCTTTATATTATTAAATAATATTAAATATCCTTCAAATTAGGCGCATTTATTAAAATATGTATATTAATAAATTTTCAGGGAAATCTGCTAAACAGAAATAGTCTGAAGGAAAATATAAATGGCTCGAATAGAAACAGCTTAAAAGAAAGTTTAAATGGTTCAAATAGAAATAGTTTAAAAGATAGTATCAACGGTTCAAATAGAAACAGTCTAAAAGATAATCTTAGCAATCGTACCAGTGTTGGATCCAACAGGAGTAGTCTTGATGTATCCACCAGTTCGTATAATACACTTATTATTCATAATGCTAATGAAGAAAATTCATGGACTCCATCATCAAGGTATAAAAAAATTATTCAATCGATATAATTCAACTAAATATTAATATAAAATAACTTGTATCAAATTTTGTTGCCAACGATGATTGCTGTTAGATTATCTGGTGTGGTAAGGGAGCACGGTGATATGGGTTATTTGTACTGTGAAAGTGGAGGCAAAGGCCATTCAAACAGTCCTACGATTCAATCTTTATCCAGTTTACCACACGATGATCATTTATATGAACAAACAGGTAACAGTGGCTGTCAAGAGATCACTGATATTCCTGACGATTATCTTAGTCAATCCCAGGTTCGTAGATTAACTTATCTACAGTTACGTGACAAATAGTTTTAATATATATATATATATATATATATATTTTCTAAATGTGCATTTTATATATTTTTTGTTTTTATTTAGGTCTTAAAACATCTCGCAAAAGAGGTCAAAGTGCCTTCCTACAGCAAACTTACAAGTAATGATAATAGTATAGATATGAGGATGCGAGAAGGCGATAGAGGAAAACAAAACGAATTCGAAGATAGACCACCACCTAATTATTCAACAACTTTATTGCCAATGAAAAATAAACACAGATTACTAGGACCGACTGAAAAGTTGACATTATCCAGGTCTCAGCCTGATCTATCCAGGCTCAGTAAAACTGATATCGACAGTTATGATCCACGAACAACGTCTCCACGGTAATAAATGTTTATGCTTATTGTTTAATTTTATTCAATTTTTCTGTGTTATATAGTTAATTATTTATGAAAAAGAATAATACTAGGACAGTTTATTGAAATCCAATGTGTAATTATGAATTCATATTTATAATACATGTTTATCTTTCATGTTTTATAGTAACGACAAATACATATCTTAAAAATTAATTCTAAGAATTTGTCATTTCAGACCACAAACAAAGGGTAGGGAAGAGTTTGAAACGACGACTGGTGAAATTTGGCCTACTTCAGAAATGGTTCAGATCCTCATTCAAGAAAATAGTGCTTTGAAACTTGAATTAGAAAGGTGCTATAAAAAAGTTGCAAAATCACAACAATTAGAACAAGAAATTACAAAAGTACACCGTGCTCATGAAGAGCTTGTTACATCATGCGAGCGTCGAGAAAAATTGGAACGTGCGGCACGTCTCAGGCTACAAAGTGATTGCAGACGTTTGACTGAACTTAATCGTGCTCTTAGGGATCAAATCGATTTGCTTTCTTCCCGCACCGAGAGCCCACTTACCGTTGAATCAATGAGAAAAGAACTCACACAAAAGGAGTTATTTATTGGGCAGCTTATCACTCAAAGTATTTAAACATTGATGAAACAAACTTATAATAAGAAAAAAAATTCTGTTTTCTACCAAATGTATATTTAAGAACTTTTAATGTTATATATATGACTACAACTTTAACTCAATCTTTTCACATTTTATTACACTAATCAGAGTATACATTATAAAAGAAGTATTCATTTTACGATAATTACATTTTATAGTTTACACTTTGATAAATTAATCGTGTATTCCAATAAAATTAAAATTTGAACAACTAAAAATCGTTAAAATAAAATTGAAATAACCTAAGAAAATTTTCATAAGATACAAATATTATTTTTAAATATAAAAATTATATAATTGTAATGTATTGTAATCAAACGAATATAAAATTATTTAATTTTTGTAAAGAATAAATAAGTTAACAAATATATATATATATATATATATATATATATATATATATGGAATGTATAATGATTCATTATTATTATGTTCAATGATGAATCTGACATTACCAATCATGTATGTTACTAGCTACTTGGTGTTAGCATGCTACTTATAACATATATTTTTCATTTTGTAAATAATAAACTTATATTTGGTCTATCTATCTTATATTTTAGCCAAGGAATTAGCGGCAGCCAAGGAACGACAAGAAATCGAATTAGCTGCACAACGAGCGACTTTACAAGAGCAACGTACACATATCGATATTTTAGATACAGCTCTGACTAATGCCCAAGGCAATGTAGTACGTTTGGAAGAAGAAGTAAGTTTAATCTTATTCATATTATTTTATAGATGTTGTACATTACCGACATTACAGAAAATGTGTAATTTTTTAATAATTATTTTCACATGATTTCAATTTATTATTCTTACAAATGCAGATATATAAACAATTCTGAATTTATTACAATAGCTATTCGTTGAATTTAGCGCTTAACAACTTTGAATGGAGGTATGAATTTAACGGCTATTGCATTTCAATTATTACTAGTAGGCAGTAGATGCTGAATTACATATAAATGAGATGATCATAGTTTATGATAGAAGCGTACTACATAATAGCTTATATTTTCTTTTTATTATTCATATTAAAAACTTATATATAATTGTCCTGGTATTTGGATTTTATTTACTAGTTTTAAAATTATCTTATGATTTAGTTATCCATTGTCGTCACCTATTATTCGTACGGAAGCTACTTGCTCCTAAAGATATAAGCACACAGGCGAGATCTTGTAGTTATTTTTTCTTATTTTTTTATCTTGAGCGATGACAATTATTTGAAGATTGGTCGAGAAATAATATAGATACAGTCATTATGTCTCTTGTCGGTAGTAAAAGTGGTTTTATATCTATCGCAACTTAATAATCGTTTCATCTTTATTATTCATTTAGTATACATTTAGTATACATACCAAAACTGTATTGCTTGATGCAATTCGTTGAGATATGCAAGCAGAAACATTTTCATAATTCTACCCAGGAATTTTCTTGTCCACGCATTATCCGTATCCAGTAAATTGTTAAATTTTATTAATTGCAAATATTTAAAAGCAAAATTTTGTTAAATTTTTAAATAGTCTAAATTAAATTAAATTTTATTTTTATTTATATCATTTTATTTACAAATGTTTATCATCTGATATTAAGTTTGGTAGTAAGATAATAATTGTAAAAAGCAATCGATTAACAAAGAAAATCGTATTTATTAAGCTGCTTTCTTTTTGGCAAAAAATTGTATTTTTGAATCCAATAATAGCTCACAAATAACCGTCTACAGTTGATTTGGTGAATTTAAAACAGTTTTACGGATATAAAAGTTGTAGAAAGTTATAAACTTTTAATCGGAACATTAATCGTAGAAATGGAATAATTGTACTGTAATATTTTTGTAGGTAAGCTCGTAGTCAATATCAGTAATGTATATAACAATGGAGTTCACAAGTAATAAATTTAGAAAAATTTACAAATACACAAAAGCTTTCCTTAAATGACTAATTTTACTAATATTCGACTAAAAGTAGCAATTGGTGAAGCAGAAATCCCATTAAAGCATACCTTTTTTACAAGCAAGTGCTACAAACGAACGAAAATTAAACTTATATATTTGTTTAATTATTTTAGTCAAAACAGCCACCTTTATGGCAATGGTAATCGTACTTTTTCACCAATTTGTGTGGTAAACTTAAATAAAATCGACCCAATTATAAATTTAAGATATAATTAGATTATTGCTTAACTAAAAATCATATTCAATATTGTTTTCATTTTGCTTATATTACATTAATTAGCTTAATTTTATGTTCCCATTACGATATTTTAACCATACGGTATTTAAAAAGATATCTACAAAATGTTATTTCCTGTTAGCTATATCGTATTCACTTTTTAGCCCAATATCGCGTAATTGTTGGACCATGTATATTACTTGCATTATTATTGTCTTTTAAAAAAGAAGTAGTGTGAAAAAATAGTTGTCTTTTTCTCTCTCTCTCAACTCTCTATAGAAATCAAAAGAATACTTAAAAAAAAACTTTTATAATTGTTTTCAGTGTTCATTATTACGAGGAATGCTCTGTCTTTAAATTTCTTAGACAACTAGAAGAAAATTAACGATGTACTTGCAATTTCAGTGCCGAAAGAAGCAAGTGTACGTGGAGCGAGTGGGACAACTACAACGCGCTCTTTCTTCACTCCAAGCGTCTAGCGATAGACGCGAAGAAACAGAGCGCCAACTGAGAGGACAACTCGAGCGCGAATTGCGGGAGGGTGGCGGCAACGGGGCTAATTGTTATGACTTATCGTCCAACGGTGAGACAATAACTGATCTGAAGAGGAAGCTACGCGAGCGTGATGAGAAAATTATGTCGCTCGAAGGTGACGTAGCCAAATGGGAGCAGCGCTATCTTGAAGAAAGTGCTCTGCGCCAAGCTGCCATAGATGCTGCCAGCCTTCCAAAGTAAGCCAAGTTGATATTTATTCACCGTGAAGTGATATTTTCAGCGAAATGTCAAACATACTTATGCAAACAAATAAATTTAAATCATTCCTTTATGACCTTTTGTTATTAAAAATTGATGTTTGAAAACGTGTCCAAGTCCTTTTTTTATGTTCAAATAGATCGACCAAGCATGGAGCTATTTTTTTTTTCATTTATATAAATTTTATATTTTTATAGTTAATTTAAATTAAAAAATTGCACTTTTAATCATTACAATAACATTTTCCTTCATAAATTCTTTGAAAATATTGAGTCATGAAGTTGAAATGCTGAATTTAGAATATTTTGTTACAAGTCGATAAAGTAGACTATGATTATTTTGAAGGGATGCAAAAATTGCTGCTCTTGAGAAAACGAGTCAAGATGCAGAAAAATTGATTGCCGAAGCTCGTTCGGAAAAGATGCGACACATGGATGAGGTACACGCGGCGCAAAAAAAATTAGCAGATCTCGAATCCAGGTAATTAATTGTCAGAACCTCAAGTGATTTACTTCTTCCAATTGGGACTAATATTAAAGGATTTGATAATTTTTTCCGTAGAATGAAAGACTTGGAATCGAAATTAGCTGAAAGAGATGCCATGATTCGAGTGCTTCAAAAGCACACCTATGATAAGGACAGCAGTAGTAGCAGCGGTGTCGGTAGTTATCCAGCGGCTCACTCTTCACATTCCAGCACATCGGCAGACCATCATACAACTCTTACTAGTACTCCTGAACTTGGTAAGTAATTATTACTGTAATATATAAAACTAAAAACCGTAATATGTGATAATTTATTGTGATTGTAAGATTCCTTTTTATTTTTATTTTAAATTACGTAATGTAAGCCTTATTTAATATAAAGATACATACTTATAAAGAAATCAGTTCCTTATAGTTTTTTTTTTTTTTTTGTAAATACGCAAATGATTCCATATATTATATTGTGAGTAATGATAATGAACATTTAAATTTTAATTATAAATTATCAAGTCTTTAAAAGTAATAATATGTATTTTACAGTGAGTAGTGTCTTGGGTAGTAGCAGTGCTTATGGTAGTACGGCATCATATGGTGTCTCGGACAGTTATAAATATAGGAAACAAGGAAGTTTTGAACAAACCAATAAAAGTCTTGACGATCAGCTCAAAGAACTAGATTCACAGTTACTCAGCAAGGTAGGAAGAATTTCTACTGCGTAGCACTCACTGTTTCATCGCGTGAACTGTAGGTTACAGTCATCGTTCATCTATATGTATATTCAGATATAAATGTTTTCATACAAGCCACGTAAATTTTGTCTGCAAACGTAAATATAAATTAATTTTTTTCTGTTTACAATATATAATAGCTTAAAGATACCTTCTTTAAATGCTTAAATCTGAAAAAAATGTGGCTGGAGTAGAATTCGTAAAGGGTAAATTGATTATTCTTATTTTTGGAAACAAAGAAGCGAATTTTCGTGTTACTTGCGAATTATAGCTGCAGCAGATCTCAAAACAATAACAGGTCATGCAGTCAAAGGTATCACTGCGTTTGTGTTGTGTGCATAGATAAAACAAAAAGTGAATCGAGAACAGTAAACGTATATTGTATTGACTAATAATAAACGAACTTTTAATACATGTATATAACAATTAAATTTGCACAAAAACATTTATGTTAACTGTTCACGATCTTGATTTGATTTTTTTTTCTTTTATTTTTCTCCTAGATTTTCAATAGTTTGTGCGTTTTTATTTAATTTTGCCATTCATCCACTGAGAGAATTTTTATGAAAATTTATTGCCACAAATAATTAAAATGTTTTATCTTGTACTGCGATTTTTATACATTTTACAAGCTTTTTTAGTTACTTTAATTAAAATGTATAATCAATTATATAAGTATATTTTTTATTATAACTATTTTCAAAGATAGATATATTTTATAACAATAATTTTTAAGATTTTCTTATAGCTGGGAAAAGTAATTTATTGGAAACCGATTATATTTATTAATTAGCTATATAACTGTAACGATTTTACCTCCCCTTGTCTTTCGGCTCTAATATATATGCCCTCGTATGTCTAAGGGTAGCGGGTAAACTATCATAGTAAAGGCAACTATAAACTAATAATATATTTCTTTATGAAAATATAATCATTACTACATGACATTAGTTCAGACCGCGTCTATGCATAACTTATTGTAGCTATATTGACAATTATAATTAGATGATACGCTTATAATTAATTTATAAATCGCACAAACCTTATAACTAACATATAGCTAGTCTATCTCGTAAGTCGGTTATACTATTTTGCTGGCTTCAATGTATTTACCATAGTAATACGCGAAATTAATAGAAAATCTGTATATAACTTTCGCTTAATTAAATGTAGATCGCAGTTATACTTGAATACGGTTGTAATGCGAAGGATGAGGGGGGGGGGACGTGACGTAATGCGCGTGGCGTAACGAAAGGGATAAGCAAGGAGAAGTGGAATCCTGTCAAAATTCGTGATCCAGAAGTCAGGAAGAGTGCAGTTAAAGTACGCATTATACGAATTACGAAGAGTTCGGTTGTTAGGGAAAGCGACTAAGACTCCCATTGCTGGGCTCGAGGAGATGAAGTTCTTAGAGAAATTCGGGCAAGCGAGAGCGAGGGGAGATAGAGCGCGTCGCGTTAGTCCGCTGCTGCACACACATACTCACGTTTCTCGTAGCAACTTGGATACACCCGTTGCATAAAATTTAAGTTTAGCTATTCAAAGTTGTTAATTATAATCGTATTTTTATATCGTCGTTAATGAATTAGTATTTTTATATATTTGATATAATTTATCTAATTTTTATATATACAAATATAATTAGAGAAGTAATTTTAATTATTGACTCTTAAAAAATTGAATTTACAGAAATTTATAATTTCTTTTCGAAGAATAAACGACAGAATAAAGTTATATAGAAAAATGTTAAATTATTATTTATTATTTGTTCCTTTATGATTTTAATGAAAGATAATTATTGTCAAATAAAAGAAATCCTCACAATTTTTCTTGTAATATTTCAATGAGAATTTTAAATATAACTTTAAGGTTAAATTTAATTACTCATTATCTTTTAATTAATTTAACTGAAAACTTTGTAAGTGATCAGTATATATATATATATATATATATAGATATATATTGATATATATTCTAACTAAAGTTTTTGGTTAAAACTTTTGAAAATCTTTATGCCATAATCTCTTAAATTCTCTCAGTGTTCTTATTCTTCTTAGCAGACATTAGCATATTACTGATGTTTGTTTGTTTTTTTATTATTTTTTTTAATTCTATCACTAATCACAACCATTCATATCATATTAGTGAGACTTGTTAAATATAACACATAACTGGCATTACGTAAAATTGATTTTGAATTGAAAATACTTGCTAACCTAAAATTATCCTACTAAATCCTGATCACTTTCATAAAATTTTGTAAATATTTTTAAAAATCTTTTTAGTAGATGATTAGCAAGTTTTGAAAATGTTGCTCTACCGAGTTACTTAATTCTCCTTTTAAATTTATCAGCACTACTCAAAATAATAGTAATTAAATATTGCATTGATTTATTATCATGAAATCTCAATCTATAGATTAAAAACTTAGAATTAATTTTTCACTATTTTAAAAAAAATTTTATTGCATATTTTCTAAATTTCTTCATTAAACAATGACGTTTTCATTATGAAAATAGATTCGATATAAGAATAAAATACTTTTTTTGTAGAATAGTCATTATATGTAATATATGCATATATATTCTACATTTATGTAAGTTTTTTATTCTTAAAGTTTAATTTAATATTCTACATTATTTTCTTATTTTGGATATCATTATATCGTAACAGGATTCATTCGAAAGATTTTTAATTTGTAAGCGATTTGTAATTTATATCTACTAAAGAGAATAATATAAAAAAATGTTTATACATAAACACCTTACACATGATGAATCCTATCATACCTTGATTAGATAAGGACATAGCTACCAAATATATGTTTTCTTTTTGAATTGTAACGATTTAAGTTTTAAAGAGCTAATTGTTATTATGTACGTGGGACATTATAAAATCTGATAACAAGAACTGTACAAATGAACTAATTAAAAAAAAAAACATTAATTTTTACTGTTTCAACGTTTCAAATAGAATACAGTTGCCGTTCAGGCTCGCAATTCATTTTTAATAATTGATAATGTTACATTAATTATATATACTACGAATGAGATTATATAACAAATCAATGAACAATTATGATCATTTTGTGACAATGGCTGCTGATAAGATCCGCTAGTAAAGGTTTTGGGTCAGTTCACGTAATTATTTATACAGTAGCCACGAATATCTTGTAATAACAAGATCAGTAGCTCTTGATCCTATCTCAAAATCAATTCAAATTCCTTCACCAATATCCCGCGTGCGCATGCACTCTGGCGTGTGTGTGTGGCGTGCCACTAACCCTCTCTTCCCTCGCCTCTCCCGTGTGCCGCGACAATATCCCGTGCACACCCGAGACCAGAAGAAGAGAGAGTATCGAGCCTGAGAGCACAAGGCCAACCTTGTCCTCCCTATTCCTATTTGTCCGGCAGCCGTGTATCGGGGCGTCTCTCTTCTTCTGTTTTCAGCGGGCACTTTGCTGTTTTCCAGGATTCTCTAATCCAGGCGCTTCGTCGCGAAAAGGAAAAATACCCAAGCCACTACTGGCGGGTGTAGAGTCCTCGGGCGGCTCGAGCACCGCATCCAGCAAGAGTCGTCTCCTCGACGACTCTCCGGCGAACTCCGAGGCGGCCTCGAGCATCCTCGAGTTCGCCGCGGCCGCGTCGCGCTTTAAAAGCCGGCTCTCGGACGGCAAACCCGAGGACATGATGCTGCTCGAGAAGCAGGGTCGAAGCTCCCAGCGTCAGCGCATGCAGGAACAACCAAACCACTCGGCTACGAATGCCACGGAGCCCCGGAGGGCCGGCAGCCTGCCCCCGAGTTCCTTGCCGCGGCCTCCGCGCTCTCTCAAGTCCCAGAACTCACGCTATTGTCGCCTGAGCGACTCGGAGACGCGCAAGAAGTCCGATCCGGGCCTGGAGCCCCAGCTGAAGGTAGCCGCGGCAGTGGCCGCCACTCGAGACTCGGGCAATTGCACTCTCGAGTACGGGCGCTTCGACGGGGCAAAAGTGTTGCGACGCAAAAAGTCCTCGGAGAGTATCGTAGGGGGCCATAAGAAGATGCTCGAGTACGAACGGCTGGGGGAGAAGACCGGTGGCGGCTTGGAGGTGAAGCGTCGAGAGACGCAGGCGAGGTCGCTCATACCGCCGCCGTCGCGGAGGATCGGCCTCGAGTACGGGAGGCTCAGCGACGGGGACGCCAAGCAGCCGCGCAAGTCCCACGAGTCCTCGACCTCATCCTCGAGGGGCCAGAGCACCGGCAGTATCATGAGCACCAAGAGCGAGGTCTCCACCGCTTCCCTCCAGCCCCCACCGCCAACTATGCTCAAGGCAAACAACAGATCCATCCCACGGCCGAGTAACTACAGGATCCAGTTTTGAGGTAGCTCGAGACACTCTTGTTGCTCCTTTTCGTATTTAATTGCGGGGGATGCACGTGTGGCTTGCCGCGAAGATTTTGAAGATTGTGCCTGAAGACTCACGAGGAGTAGCTAGATTATCCTCATACCAGACAACGAACGGTTTGTGTTACTTGCAAGTGGGATTTGCTTCCCGTGTTGGGCTTAGAAGAGAACATTTGGTAAAAAGTCTCTCACCCTCTCCCTACAAAGTTTTTTCTTTCCTTTTTCTTTTCTTTTTTTTTCTCTTTATCTTAAACGAAGAATACGAGGGTATCTCGTATTGAGCCAGTATCAAGGATATACTTGGCGTCAATTTCGTTACTGACACTGTCGTCACGATTGATATTAAATTGCGCGTACTCGTTCGAGTCACGTGCTACATGCTACACGGTCTCGGAGAGAACCGTGATTTTATCATTCTTTTCCTCGTACCTGATATTTTCATGTACGGATCATTTTGTTCTGACCAAGTACAATACTTTGTCAACTACGTTTAGATCGGCATTGAGATAATTAAAGTGCACACCATAATATGGATCCCCGTGAGAAGGGACGATCGTATGCAAATACGTACGTACTCTTAATAACCTATCGTATGTAGCGATATATAGTATGACCTAGTCATTACCAAAGTAAAACTCGCAGCAAGGAAATGAGCACAGGAAGCGTTTTTAAAGGATGAGATCTTTTTTGTTTTTGTTTTGTTTTTATTTTGTTTTATGACTGATTGTATACGAAGGCCCGTCGGTGATTGATAAGTGCCTTCAACAGTTTTTTATGTTGAGTCTTGTCGCCTTTACAGTCAATAAACTATTTTTGCAATTGGGTGAATGACCGTAAGTCCATGTGATAAGTAAACCTCACGTAATATCTGATATTGATTCTTTTAATGTGTGAAATTTGATATTGAGTTTATAATGTTTTAAATTCTTCCATATTGATGAGATTTGTTTTTCAAGATTGTTCTTCGATTTTATGAGTTTATCATGATTGATTGTAATATTGTCATTTCATAATCTACTTGATGCTTGAGGAAGCATTTCCTTTCTATATCATCTCATTCTAGAATCCTAAACAATAAACTTTTTGTTTCTAGTTTTAACTCCGTGTTCAACTTGTCAAAACTTTTTACAATATAATTATTTATAATTTTTATGATTTTTCATTAAATTAATATTAACATACTTCAAATATTTTTATACTACATTGTTGTCAAATTTTTTTTTTTTTTGTAAGTTACGTTCAACGCAATTATTTAAATAGTATCCGTAATATTAATGAATATAAATTATTAGACAATGTAATACCGTAAAAATTTTTCATATTAAATGAACTATTGGCTGTGAATATAAATTTTAGTTAGTTTATTATACCAAATTATTTCTAGTGATTTCCAAAGTAAATTATCATATATTTATCTCGATAGATTTTTCATACAGATTTTACACAATTTAGTTACATAAAATTTGTATCTTCATATTAAACAATTGATTTTATTGTGTTGATAAACATTCGATATCCGATATTTCGGAAGGTTTACTTAATAATTGCACATTTCATCATTTTCTATGAGAAAGATATTTCACTAATTGCCGCAGTAATCAAAAAACATTGTTTTAATACAATTAATACGAAGAAATATTTTTTATACCCAATTACATGCACGAAACGACATGATCCACTGTTTTTAAGTGAAAACCGTTGTACAAATTTTTTTATAAATTCTATTCTATATCATTTTTATAAATAAGAAGATGCAAAAATAAAAATAGCACATATGATGCCTTACAATTCATTTGAATCAAAATATATAAAAAACACAATACACGGAGCAGTACAAGTGCTCTTAATGAAAATTAGTATAGATTCTTGATAAGACTGAAAATAAAAAAGCAAGAAAAGGTTCCGACAAAAAAAAAACTGTTAATACGTGATGGACTAATCTGGGCTTTCCTCTTCATATTGTAACTTTTGAAAAGTTTTTAATTCTCATTTACGAGAAACGAGTCACTTCGATATTTGACCGACACCAAAGTATAAAGAAAAACTTATTTTAACTATACATCAGTTACAAGTAGATTGCTTTTAATAATATAATAATTATATTTATTTTATCATGCCTATATTAAAACAAAAAAAAAATAAATAAAAAATAAAAAATAAAAAAAAATAAAAATTAAATGAAACCGTATTTCGGATGTATCGTTATTAAAAGCTGTTAGTTGAATAATTTACTGAAGTTACTGAATAATAGTACAGTTACTGAATAATAGTTGAAACAAATGAAAATTTTCAGAATACCGAAAGATTTTAAATAACTAATAGAAAAAGAAGCACAATGATAATATTTTTATTCTTATGTAGCATAGTATCATAATTGTGAATTGGACCTAACTTCATTCTCATTTCATATTATTTTTTTCTTTCATAACTATTTTATTTAATTAGTTTTAAGTTGTATTGGCGAGAATGCATATTATAAATGTGCGATTTTTAATTAAGTCGCGAAACGAATGAAAAATTAAAGAAAAAAATATCAAGTCCTTGGAACTTATATTTTTTTTGACGCAGCGCACTAGGTGATCCATATTGATAATCTTGCATTTGCTTTAATATTAAATGAATTCAGTGCAGCCAAACTCAAATTTTACATTGAATAACAAATTAAAATACGATAAAAATTTTATGATCGGCAACAACTTTACGTTGGTTGTGTTGTAACAGCTAACTTAGAGTATATATATATATATATATATATATATATATATATTTATTTATTAATTTATTTTTACTTTTATGTTTCTTACACAAATTTATTAAGCTTTTTTATACATGTCTCGAACCATAATTCATTTTCCAATAATTATAATTTTAATCCACTTAATAAATTGTTTAATCAATTTTCTTTACGAATAAATTATGTAAATCAAGAAACCAGATAATTTAATGCATCGTATTGTTTTTGTCAGCGATATAATTTCATTTGAGTTAATATTATACTTCGTTGTTTTTAAGAGCAATATTGCAAAAACAATGAAAAAAAAACATTTCTCGCAATAGGCTGTTATATCACAGTCATCTTAAAGATGATTGTATAATCATTTCCCGATGTAATATTCATTGTGATGCATAGTGTTTAATGTTTTATTTATGTTTCGTTTTTCCCTTATTGTTATAACTTGTAGAGAAAAATATCCTGCACGAAGCGAATTTTTTTCATAACAAGTTTACAAATGCAGATTAAATTCCTACAAAACAGACTCGGACTCCTCTTACTAAAATTAATATTAAATTATGTTCCTTTGTCCAGTAATAATGTTTCGCTTATTATTTTCATAGATTTTAGAATACTGTTTCCTTCGGACATTTAGAAATTTTGTTATCGACTTAGCAATTGTCTTCGAATCGTTACACACTTCATGAATGTATTAAATAGATCCTCGAAGATCAATATACATTCGGTACTATTAGCCGAAGGACACGTAATATTTCGAGCTATTACTTGACACAATCACTCGATCCTGTTGCATTTCATAGACTACTGGACCTGTCAATGAATGTGCGCCCACTGGTAAATTATACATACTTCCGCGTGTGACGGCAGGTCACATTGGCCGCGAGAAATATTTTTGCACCAGATAAGATGTCCAACCGTTGGTCCATTTTAATATTCGTACCAAATATTTTGACAATTTGTACAATTTCCTAGACTCGTTCGTCCACAATCGTTTATTTCAATTTCATATTAGGACATATTAGTATCGTCCGATTATTTTTTTATCGCACACTGATATGTTACAATTATATCTAAAAATTTTGTATTGTAAAACTTTCTCCAAGTGCTGACGAAACCACTTATTGACAGAATCTTCAAATTCAACATATCACATTAATTTTTACAACCGTCATATTTACATATTACGTGAGTAATTAGCGCTCTAATTCGAAGAAAATTGATGATATAGACCTAACTTTAATTTTAAGGCCCATCTCGCTAGCTTTTCTGATGCACTGTGTAAATTTAATTAAACTCATTTTAAATCACTATGATCAGTGACTATCAATTACATATACAAATATCATATACAATCCTTCGATACAGGGCTGAAATTTCATTGTGGCACTCGGTATTGTGAGATTTTCACGCACGATAACGTTGAAATAACATTCCGATAAGCGAAGTTGTTGCGTACCCTTTATTGTCGGTTTAAGTTTTGTATGAGGAATTTACTTTCTCCGATTTTGAATTCCGAATATTTTATTAAATATATGGCTTTGTAATATAAGCATTGAAACCTCATAAGCGAAGACACTTTTTCTAAAAGTTTTTATACCACTAGGTCGTATTTAAAAGTTTCTTACGCCGATTTATAATTTTAGGTGGTGAATAATTTATAACAAATTTCAGTGTTTTTGTATTTAATTGAAATTTGTCTTCATTAACCAGTGCGTCTAATTTTTTTTTTTTTTTTTTACATTTTTGTATTCAATGTTTGATTAAATATTTGAAATAATTTGTAAAATCAAGTCGCCTGCCGGTGTGAAAGTTCCATAATATTCTAAGATACGCTCTGAAATATCTGCTGAATCAAACTTTTATATTCATTATTATAGTTTAGAACAAACAAACAAAAAAAAAAAACAAAAAAAATGGTTGGTACTACTAGGAGTATTCTAATAGTGGATGAGTTGTGTTAAATCATTGAACAAAAAGATTTCATAAATTTCATAAAATTTAATGCAATATCTGTTCGAGTTTTTATTTTATTCAACCTATCTACATTAAACTCTATACATATTTCTTTCTGTGAATCCGAAACATAATACACTAATATGAATTTTTTTTTCTTTAAAAAGCTTATTTTCAAAACACTTTTTTTTTTACTATTCGATGGAATATAGCGTATATCGTAAATAATATTATGATTTTGATCTCTTAGATTTATGTTAATGTCAGCTAATAAATCAAAATGATTCAATTGTTTCCCATTTGAGTTGACATAAAAAAAGTAATGGCTCTTTTTGTTTAATTCTCAAATTTGTAATCATTTTTTGCCAAATAGTTAGTTTTAACGTTGGATTGATTACGTAAAAAATTTTTCACTGCGTCCATGCATCTACTTATTTTGGTCTTAATTTCACATCATGCATTTTCAAATGCAATTTTATGAGCTCATAATAGTATTCAAATATTAAGAACTGTTTTTATTACATTCCAACACCAGTGTAATGAGGCGAATTTCTTAATATCTTACGTCACACAACAAAGCCTCAAATTCAGCTATCATAATAAATTTTACGGTAGTTTGACGATTTATTCGTTTTAAGAATTCCGAGTTTTAATATCTTTTGTAATTAGAGATATTTACAAAAATTGGCTAGCATTTGTGCGCTTGCTTAGAATAAAGTTGAAGGGATTCGAATAATGTCCAGAAATTATGGAAGGTTGTATTCAGTTTTTGTCTTGATTATCTTAACTTTTTACTAAAGAGTCGCTCGTATAACAGCTAATTAGGGTAAAATTTTATCGCAAAAGCCCGTCGAAATGAATTGAAATCGGCGATAAGGCCCGTCAAACCGACGATTAATTAACATACATCAGCAATTTAACGATATGAGTAAATTTATGTGGTAATAAATATTCTTCCCATCTCTCCCCTTCCTTCACTTGCTGTTTAATGCAAGTAATGACGAATAAGACAGATATTTTCATTTTTATCGACGAAGATTTATCCGTCGCCCGTCAAAGTCTGTTTTGTATAAAGAATATACAATCGGTTTTTCCTTACTTTTTCTATATCTACCATGATTCATAATTTATATGCAAGAATACCAAAATGCACGGAAAAAGGAGGCTTCCAACTTTATTTTAATGTTACTGATTTATCATTTTACTTATCTCTATCGTGCGACTGAGAATGCGTTAATTTAAAATTCACAGTGGAAGAAAAATTGAAACATAATAAACAAACATTCCCTGCGTATCAGGTTTATGTGTATAAGCGAGGATTTTCCATTTACTAACATATATGTTTTCAATTCTAAATTGAACAATGGATAAATACGTATAACAATTTAAGCGATAAAAATGTACAACAATTTCAAAACATAAAATTTTCCTCGATACTTTTTACATAAGATGGCGATAATTTATATGTAAAAATTTTGAATCTGATCTTCTACCCGGCATTTTTAACAAATATAGAAATACTAAGTACCTACTTACTTAAACGAGTGAGTAAAATAAAGCAATAATGTAACAAACATCGCATTTTCTAACGTGAAGCTTCCGTTTTCTCGGTGCTGCGTTCACCAAAGATGCGTCTCCGATATTTAATACGCTCCTCTGGGAGCTATACGTCGTATCCAAATATTGTTCCTATAATATTTCTGCGCCTTACGCGTATAGCGCACCCGTTAAACCCTCGAAAGTCATATTTATTGAGAATTTGCAAGTTATTCATTTGTGTGATGCGATTCTCGAATAAAATGGGTGCGACACGTTTAGTGTCGCGAGTCGTTTGCTCTCTATTTTTGATACAGCCGCTACGTAAATATGTAAATGTGCGTTGCGATTAAATACAACTATTTTGTATAATTATAATTTTTCAAAATGTCAATAGTATTATTCGTTCGTTGGAAACTTAAAATGCATAGATAATTAAATAATGGTTGTATAGTTGATTAATGAATTAATTTGAAGTATCTTTGATAAGGTATGCATTATTATATTAAAAATAAAAGGTTTTATCAAATCAACGGTTAATTATATAAAATTTGTTAAAAATATACGAGCATGTACTTACAAAGTACTGTGAGCGTAATGTTGAATTTAAAAAACGCCTTAAGAGAAAGAAATAGCATGATTTATATTTGTGTAACGTTTTTAAATAATTAAATGTATTCATATATTATGTATGGCTATACTAAACGATCTTATTGTTTTATTTTTTCAAACGTATGATGTGATTTCATTCTGTGAGTGTCTCAATTGTGGTCACATGAACAGAGATGGCTCGATTGTTCTTTTCTCTTAATGCAGAAAAAGTAAAAATGAATTAAACGAGATAACGAATCGTCAGGCTAGAAAATAGTCAGAGTAAGCGAGTATCGAGAAACAAAATATTAATTTTTTTTTTTCACAATGAAGCTCTAATGTATCTATACGAGCTCTTTACTAACCGGAATTTCATCATTCCAATAGGAATGAAGCTTTGAATTAAAAACACATTGGTAGTTGGCTGGTTTTCAGTGAAAACGTATGAAATAAAAATTTAATAATAATCAAATTCCTAATCTTTTATTTATTTCCCAATATGTAATAAGATAATTTTTTCTTTTTCAGGTATACTGCTTTTTATGTTAGGTTTTCAAAAACTTTATTTAAATAATAGTAGGTTTATTTTAAATATATAGTAGGTTTATTAAACTAAGTATTATTTTTAATTTCATGAGCAATTTAAAAAATATTAATTGTATAATATATTCTCTGCTTGGTTTATTCTTTTATTGGTTTGCTCCTATTAAGTTTTGTTTTAAAAGGTAGATTTATTCATATTACCCAAACAAATATGAACTTTAAAAACGCATTTTTAATATTTTTATTGGCTTATATAACTTATTAATATATGATACAATTCATTGAAAAAAAACCTTAATGTTAAAATAATATTCCTATTGTTTTAATATCTTTGATATTTTAAGATTTTATATATAATTTTTAATATATTATTTATGCATATTAATAATTGATGTAAGATTCGAGGATTTTATTGTTGATAATAGATAATCTTTATTGTAATTAATTTAATTTATAGCTATAATACATGTAAATTAATATTATGTTCATCTACAATAAAATAAAATAGTAAAATTGTTTTTTAATTTTTTAGTTTTTTATGAGTTGTTTCGCAACATTTCTTAATAGTTACTCATGTTCATACATTTATCTAAACATTATACGAAATAAATCTTATGTCACATTGTTTCCTTATTGTTTTGTATTGACACTATTACTCTTTTTATGTTCTTTTTTCTTCATAATTACGCGATAATAATCAGTAGCAAAGAATTTAAATAACAAATTGTATATATTGATAAACAAATTGTATCATAGGATATAAAATTTGAGCCTATTATATTTTGGGACATACTTCATTGTTATTCAATCAATTTGAAATATTTTAATTCGTGTTCATGTATTTTTTAATTTCTATTACTTTAATTTTCTATACGTTAAGCTTAAAAATATAAGAATCTTACGTATATGAGAAATGATTTAATAGATGCGTAAGAATATTATAATATAATATAATATAATAAAATTTCATAAATTTAATAGGTAGCTTCATTTTCATCCTGATTGTATAGATATAATGTATATATAGGCAACGACTCATTATTATTTATATTTTTATAAATTTTGATACTCAATTGAATCAGGAGTACATCATTATCAATAGAATATTGATAATCTATTTTAAACATGTTTAATAATACAAAATGAATTTTTTGTTCAACGAATATTTTATTCTTTTATCGAAATTGTGAATTATGCTATGATGATTTTTTATCATTGCCAAGTATGGTAAGTGTTAATTTAATCACAATGATACTACACTTATCCTTCATATCCAAATTATTCTGTACAATTTAGAAGAAATTCTTCAAGAATAATACCATATATCATAGATTATCTTAGATCAATGTCTTAAATTTTATTTAATCTTAACAAAATTCTTTTGATTGAATAATATAGGATATGCACAGTCTTTTTTTTTTAAATTCTTAGAAATCATGTTTTATATTTTTTATATATACGATTTATTACAGAAAAATATATTAACATAAGATATTATACGTAGTTTTATATTCTGTTAATGCATAATATTGATTGAAAATTTATATTTACCTGCATATAGATTTAAAAGGTATCATAAAACACAAATAAATTAAGAATAAGAATATATATGTATTAAATATACATTTTTTATCGCCTTACATTGTTTATGTTTAATCGAACAAGATAGATTAAAAACAAATTTAAAAATTTATATTTTAAAATTTTCAAAATTATGTTATAAAATTATTATCGTTTCTAAGATATGCGTTGATAGTCTTGAAAATGAAAGTGCAAATATAAAGAATATTAATATTACAAGAAAAGTATATATTACGTGTACTTAATTAAAAAAAAAAAAAAACTTCTATAATTGTCAAGAAGTAGTTTGAAAATAATTTATATTTTTAAATTATTACTTTCTGTCTATTTGAATAAATTTAGTATGAATTGGCTTGTCAGGGCGTATAACAATATCCTGATATAATTCAAAATCACAAATATAATCAATGGGTTCCAAGTAAAAATTATATAAAATATTTGCAAGTAAGGATTTCAATTCCAACATAGCAAATTTTTGTCCTGAAAAAAAAAGTAAAATAACAGCTAAATTTAATTATAAAAATTATATAATTCCTTTTACTATTATCAAATATAAAATGATTGAATTTAGATGTAAATATTTTTAATTTTGTTCATTAATTTAGAAGAAAAACATTTTTAAAGTGAACCATAAGATTTATTAATAACTATCAATAATATTCTGCTATTATTCTTCTTATTAAATTGAAAATATAATTTATATATTTAAAAAAATAATATTTAATGGTAATAAAATGGTATTCTAAAAACTACAAATATAACGATTGATTAACGTGAAAAAGAAAGGCCTCGGAGAAAGAAGAAATATCTTGTAATAGTGTTTAATATGATGTATTCATCACCTTAATCATAGAACGAGTTTTTTTTTATTAATATGTATTATTATTACCTATACAATTCCTAGGTCCAGCACTGAAAGGTACATAAGCAAATGGATGTCGTGATTTTATTTGGTCTGGTAAAAATCTATCGGGATCAAATTTCTCTGGTTCTGGCCAAAATTCTGGGTTTCTATGTGCATCGATAAAGTTGATAATTACGTTAGTATTTCGAGGAATCGTCGTATGTTCTAAAAGATAGTGATATTTCAAATGTGCATTTAACTATGAGGATTTATTATATCGATGAGTATTACTTAAGTGAACATCTTCCAATAGATAGCGCGTAATTGAAGGAACCGATGGGAATATTCTAAGTGTTTCTTTAATACATCTTTCAAGATAGTTCATTTTTTGTAAATCTGATATATCTAGTTTTCCATCTTTTGGCCTCAAAATGTCCTCCACTTCGTTTCTAGCAATATTCTATAATCATGAATTAAATGTAAATTTAGTATTTAGCCTTCTAATCAATGCATTATGAACGTAAATATAATTTTTAATTTTTATTTTAATAATTAAATGATGCTGATGACCAAAGTTTTCTCGAATTTATGAATGTTGATGTATAATTATTTGAAAGGTTTGATCGTCATGGAATGTTAACAGCAACTAAATACAAATAAATAAATATAATGAATAGTTTGATTCAAGTTATGATAAAATTAGAGTCTGATCAATTATATTGTATTTTTATTTAATTTTATTATCATTAATGGTTTGATTTACTTGAGCTTCTTCATTTTGTGCAAGAAGTAGTATAGCAAAACACAAACCCATTGCTGTTGTATCATGTCCCTGAAAAATAATACTATGTAATAAAATAGATAGTACAATGGTAATAATAAGACATTGTGTAAGTTCTTCAAATTAAATATTAAGCAAAAAAAAATATATCGTGTACGTAATATAGTATAAAAGCTATTTATTTTAAAAATACAATTGCGAATGAATAATTAATAAAGACATTATTTTTAATTCTAGCGCAATCGTATAAATACAATATAATACTTACTTCAAAAATAAAAGTAGCTACCTCTTCCTTAATTCCTTCCTCATTTATTCCGCCAGATCTCTCAGTTTCCAAAAGCAGATCAAGCATTGATAATTTTTTTCTTTGAACTTAAATAAATATCTAATTATTGATGTTCTTACATGGTGATATATAACATTTAAATACAGTGACAAATGAATAAGTATGTGAAAAAAAACGTTATAATAATTTAATAAATGTGATTGTATTTTAAAAATTTATTTATGATTATTTAATAATTACTCATTACCAGAATAAGTTTCGTCTGATTTTGATTCTGCTACTTCGTCCTCGTATATTTTATCCAGGAATACATAATTTGTTTTTTCATGATATTTCCGCCTCTCCTGCACTATCTGTTTTCAACGTTAAATATTGATTATGTGAAGCTTATATATTATATATTATTACTGTTACTTATCTTTGAAAATATAATAATTATTAAACATTAACAAAAAATGGTATTGGTAATGGAAAAACTTTGGCAATTATAGAGTATTAATGTAACATGGTTATGCACATGATATTTAATGACTCTTTATTCATTAATGCATGATGTATAATTGAAATGGTATTTACAATTAATATTCAGATCAAAATATCTTTAGTGATTGTACGAATTCTTTAGTACTTTTTTTAAATTTTTTATTCTGATAAGTTTTTGGATTATCATTCATGTTAAATAGAATATAATATTTTGATATGTTATTTAACTCGAGGTCAATTGTATTTTCAGATCCAAGATTTTAATAGGAATTAATAAACAATGATGTAATATTTACGATTTTAAGTCTTTTAGTTTTAGTATTTTCTATTGTATATATACACTTGAGCACCGAGGCCTCAAGTTGTGATTACGTCATTTGAGGATAAATAGTTCGTAAGTAATGACGTTTCATTTTAAGAAAGATGGACAGTGAACAATAAAAAATTCTTATGCCAGTGCAAGCGATTCAGTTGCCGACGATCTCTATTTTTTAATATTACTATTCTGAATGGTTTTGTATAGTCACATATTTCACTATAAAAGTTATCTTTGCACTCACAGAATATATTATAAGGAAGGCTTTCGGCAAAGACGTATTTTATGATTAGCTAATACATCTATAACGCAGATTAAGAATAAATGTGGGTTAAGTTTGAATAGCTGATAACTAATTTCATCCTAGCAAATCGATATAATTTTTAATGAAATTGTTTAATTTTATTTCAAGAATATAAAAAAAGGCCACTCAATGTTTTTTATTTAAAAATCCCTGACTTTTTTAATAAGTTTTCTGAACAAATTAATATCTTTCTTAAATGTTTTATAATATACCACAATCATTTAATTACGTAATGCATCTATGTCTTTATAAGTTATTTCACAAGTATAATTGATTCTTACTAATGTCAATTTAATGTGTTTTTTAAAAAAGAATAAACCATAACTACTCAGATCAGACAACAATAGCATTGTTGTCCTCTGTTAATTGTTCGAGAAATATTTAATCATTAAATAATGAGTGATGACAAATATTATATAATATATTACATATTGGAATCCTTGGCGCTGAGATATTTTATATTTTAGGCATTAATCAAGTAAAGAATGTCCCTTTCGTATATAAACGGAATATAACAAGAACTGTAAATTGATTTTAATGTTTATGATGGACACGTACGTACATTTTAAATTAATTTAAATAAATAATATTAATTTTATTAATTAAATTTGTGTAATTATAATGAATTTTAATTTGGTGGATATTAAAGTAATTATAAAATAAATATAAAATAAATATCAATATAAAGTGTTTATAAATTTTATACTTACGTTATGTGTAAAAGAATTAAGATTATGCAAAACCTCTTTATATTCCTTATTGAATTTCGGCATGAAAGGTAACATCCAATCTGTTATGTATGGTCGAAGCAGTCTAGTGAAAAGACCATTTTAATGTACAATATGTTTAAATACTTAATAGAAAACATGAAGTTTAACGTATTGTTCATACCTATAAATGATAATATCGCCGATTTTATAAATTGAATTTTTGTATATTTTTGCAGTATTATCATTGTCTAATGACACCCCCATCGCTGTTTCTGTATAGACACATATATGCATACATGTACTTATATTATGCATAATGCAGGTATGTTATAGGCATGATACATGTAACTATGTGCATAAAGGTAAATATAGACAGTCACTATTAACAGCATTTAGTTGATTCTTATTTTGTTATGTAATCGAACAATTTATAATAATGATGGTTCGAAATAACAGACGAATTAGATCATTTTAATAAAAAAGGAAAATTATTCTTTCGAACGAGTGCTTATCGATAAAATAATTCTACTAAAATGATGATCTTTTTCTATAGCGTTGATAAAATCGATTATGATTCTGTAAGTTATTATTTTTGTTCGAGCAATATCGTTTTTACAAAATCCGAATTGTAAAGTTCGAATTGTAAAGAGTAAAATATAAAATTGTGAGTTATAAAAATCTCGAAACATCTTAGAATGAATTTAATTACTAAGAACCACGTATTAATTTAATATTGTACGAATTATTTAACATGAAAATAGCAGTGGTGAGTTTTAAAAATAATTTTTTTGTTGATACATTATGATATTACTGCTGTTAAGGAAGGGTAGCAGACATATACACAAACATTTATGAATCCAGAATGGCATGAGCGTATATACGATGATAGCGCCAATTGATTTCTATTCCAATGCTTTATAATTTTTGAACCATAAGTATGTAAAAAAATTATTATTTGACACATTATGTTCTAGACAATAAGTTGAAATTGATAGCAATTAAATAATGGTGATAATTAAATACACTCAAAGCAATATTGCTCGAAAGATCAGAGGATCTCTGAATCAATTACTATATGGTTTTTAGGATATTTTACTTACCACAAATGATATTTAATGTATGTGTCGAGCAAAATTGTAAGAGATTCTGTTTTGTCTCCTTTCCTTCGAGTTTAGTTTTTGAAACGAGTTTCTGTGCATGTACATTTGTTATATCCATATATTTTTTTAAAATATTAAAATGAAAAGCTTTTGACAAGATTTTTCGGCGTCGATGCCATTTTTCTCCTAAATATAAATAAGGACACTAATGAAATTTATAAATGAATAATTTTCTAAATGTAAATAAAATATTACGTTAAAGTTATATTGTAACGGACAAATTTTTGTTCCATTATATATTAAACATTTATACTAATTAATATTTTATGCACATACAAAAGGTATTTAAGTTTCTATCAATCACAACATAAGATTTTATAGAAATTTCTCTTTTAATAGAATAGAGATTATAATTTAATGTTTTAGTTTTTTACAATTAATTTTATTAAAATTAAAAATAAATGCGAGCGATAATATCGAGTACAATAAATAATCGAATAATTAATAGTGGGACTTATAAATAGTAATAAATAGTGAACTTGTAAATAGCATAGAATTATAATCGAATTATCATCCAATTCTTCATAATATCAAAAAAGATAAAATCCGATGCACATAAACTTCAATATATTATTAAGATCAGATTTTTTAATTAATAATAAATATTTACCTACTGATGTTAGAAGACCAGTTCCCAACCATGGACCAAAACATTCATAAGCGTATTGCTTATTAATGTGTTTCGAATTTGTGAGTAAAATCTAATTTTAAAATAAAACAATTAAAAATAATTGTAAAAATATTACAAAGATTTTTGTAAAGACTTTTACTAATTAATAAAGCAAATAAAGAAAAAAGAACTGAAAAATGCGGTAAGTTTTATTTTTATTATTACTAGTTACGTTTTCTGTTATGATGTAATATTGCTACGCAAGATCATAAATATGGGACTATACATATATATATTTGAATTTACAAATATCAAATACATATCATTCAAATCACGACATTTATCTACTAAAGTATTTAATAATTTTTTAATATAATATAGTCGCGTATATATATATGACACTCTATTAATTATAAGTAAGTCAAATATTCTCGAAATCGTTTATGAATAATTAGTTTATTGTTAAAAGTGGAATATTAATAATTTAGATTTTTATATACTGATTAAGTAAAATTGTATGATATATTTGATATTAGTCTAGAATCATTATAAATACTTATTATGGGCAAGTCAATAATTCTTTAAAAGTAGAATATAATTTGGAAAATGCAAGGATTATGTTTTGTGTTCAATTGGAGTTTTAAATATAATAAGCCATTTCTTTACAGCTGAAAAACATTTTTCAGCAATATCTTTCTAAATATTAAAATTGAAAAATCACTAAATTACCATTCAAATATTTCAATTAAGACAAAAATATACAATTGATATAATAAAGAATTTACACTAAAGATATTTAAAATGTAAAGAAATATTTATCAAAATATTTAAAAAAAAAATTGATAAATACTAATTAATTGTAGAAGAAATTAAAAAAGTAATGAACAAACAAGAATAAATTTATTATGGGAAAAAAATATTGATTCATTCTAATATTTAACGTAACTAACGACTGTTCGAAATTGTAAGAGCATTCCCAAGTCATTAGGGAACATTTGGATAACTACCTATTAGAGTTCCGAAAAACCAAGTCGTTAAACATCTGGCAAAAACATTTCATTCAAAGTTCTGAATAACAAGTCATAAAAATATAAGGAAAAACCCCGTCACTTGACATCTGGAAAAACGGTATTACAGGCAACATTGCAGTATACGGCGCACAACGCCTACGTCCAACGCATACGCTGTTGTCAAATCTACCCACATGTGGCTCGGATAGTGAAGCGAAAACGCGCCAAAAAAATTCTCCTCATAGTGGGGATGCAAGTAAGAAGCGCTCTGATTGGAGCCACCAATAATGAAAGAATTAATTCGATTGGAGACGCCAAGAAAGAGGCGCTCTGATTGGAAAAGCCAAGAAGGAGGCAATTCGTAAAGACCACGCGGTGGCCGAGAATGCTTTTAAGAAAGATGCCGGCAAGGCGCAACAGCTTCTTCTCACAAGAGACGCCGGCAAGGCTTCTTCTCTGAGGGAACGCCAAATAACAAGGATGTAGACATACACAGTAAAGGCCTCTTAAGAGGCAAAGCCTAGTCATATCCAACTCATAACAAAGTGCAAGATAAGTGCAAATCAAATCATACACTCGCAGCAGTGCAAGGAAAGGAAAAGGGAACAAGAAAATAGTCGCGCACAGAGTACAACATAATCATAACCTATAAGTAGCCGCTCGAGGCAAACTCAGCAAACAATACGCGAGGTATAGCCAGAAAAATACAAAACATAAACTAGAAGCTGTCGTACGAGGCACAACCTGCAGACATCACTAGCTGCCATCAAGAGCACAAAATCTGCAGAACTTACAAGGTAAAAGTTCCATTCCTTAATAATGATAATTATACACAATATGCCTCACAAGACAAAGAACTGTAGAGCAACCAAGTGCATACAATCTGCAGACGCGTAAGGGGCAAGTTTAGCTCCCACAAGATAGACGTACAAGGCGCCATATCCGGCAATATCCGCAGACCAAGATGAAGTGCCACCAAGAGCACACCTTCAAAGCCTACAAGGTAAGATATAAGACAATAATAAGGTAAACTGAAGCTACTGCCACGTGCCACTACACAAGGAAGCACAGGGGTTTACGACCTCGCACTTCTACGTATATAACACCACCACCACATGCATTACATATAGAGGACCAGAAAAGTTACGATCTGTACACGTACTGCATGTTACCACCACGTAGCAGCCATAAAGTAACAGCAAGACAGATAAAAATCCATCAACACTTAGAATTATTATGGTGTAATTTAAGGGGATGGCAGCAATAAAGACCAATAAATAAAGAAAGTATCGATTATTGAATACATGCACTATTCTGTCCACTTGCTTGCAATCTTCTCATCAATCATCTGGGAGTTTCATCTAACTGTAGATATTTGGCCCTCCTAGCCCGGTACTCTATTTTTAGACATTTTGGTCCTTGGAGCCAGATAAGTGGCAATTAGTGCATTCGTTCAGTATTAATACAATACGAGGAGGCACAGCTATACTCAGATTATATATTGGAAGTTCCAATCATAAGGACATACGGCATTTATGTCACAAATCATTCGCGAATCTCCAATAAGTAAGTACTTTATTATTGTTCTTCTCTAATAATGCATTAATGTTGAGATGTCATGCCATGAGAAGAAACGAGTTAAGGAAACAAGTGCTGATGCATCGACCTAACAAGAAGAGGTAAAACATTATTGATTACATTGCATTACAATCTATTAAAAGGCGAGAGAACCTCAATCAAGTGATTATTTCACATTCTCCTTTCTCATTAGATTAGCGTTAAAAATTGTCTCAAGTTGAAAGGAAACAAGCTAAAGAAACAGGTGCTGAAGCATCCGACCCCACAGGAAAACAACAATCGCATAACCCATAGTAGTATAAGGATAGAATTCCAATGGAACTCATTGTCAAGGCTCAAGGCCAGTGTAGCCGTATTACAGCAATTAAAAAACTAGTCATGGAGCTCCCATCGTCCCGTTCAGAAACATCCTTAGAAGAAATCATAGGTATGAAGGGACTAATCGATGATTGCACAAGGCAATCGCAAAAGAGCATTATTACATGGAACAAACTGGGCCTGGGGCATTACCCGCTCATGAATACCTAATGAATAATGTACGCAGTGAAAAGCTTGATGTTTATTCAAACGAGCATATAACCATCAACAAATTACCCCACTCAAGCAGTCAAAAGAAGTCCTTGGCAATTCCTACTTCAAGGCTCATCAATATCTACTAAGCTTAATAAAACAATTATCAAAGGATGGAGTCTATCGTGAGCATTACGAAACTTTATGAACGAATATACAGAACTCAATATATGACAAGAGCCAGTTCACCGAGCATACTTCAAGGACAAAGCAGGTTCAAAGGTAAACATTGTCGTAACTAATCTCAATGCCTGGGCCCAAGCCGACCTCACTCGCCAAAAAAGAGAAGACCTCGTGAAATAGACGAGTTTGTAAGTGACACAAATGACTTATCGAGTAGATTACACTTATTAGATAAAAACATTGATGTATGGGAGTGCATCGCAATTGATCAAGTGATTCAACAACTTGACAATTCTACAAAAACGCAAGCAACAGCCGTCGATGGTATAGACTACCCTGAGAACAGTAAAAGCTTATCAGTCATCAATCAAACCAGAATCAGAAGGCATTCAAGAAGGCACAAGGCCCAATGAAACATGCATCTGCTGTCATAAGGAACGTAGGCTAATCTCATGCCCAACATTTAAGGAAATGACGAAAGAAAGAGTTTGTAAGTAAGCATAAATTACGTTACAATTGTTTAAAGGCTTCAAGCTCGCGCTCATGCACACGACACGAACAAACTTGTGGCCATTGTTTAGAATTAACTAAGAAAACCACTAGATGTTGTGTGGGAGAATGCATGAGCAAGCGGAGGGGCTAATGCACTGATTCAATAATTAACACATATATTTCTTATTCCTGTTTATTCTATTAACTTTTCAATTTACTTCCAATTTAGGGATTATTATTTTTGGAGAGGTTAAAAAATGAACCTTTATTCTCAATAATGAATGTAACGTTGAGGTGCACTTCCCTTGGAGAATCAGAAGGTTGCAAAGTTCCCGATCCTCTGGCCGTGTCTGAGATCAGACTGAAAACCTCCTTTAGGTGTTGGGTGGAGGTATTGCTGGCAAGTAGAAGGGACAATGCAATTATTCAAGACTACTTGTAGTGTTTATTGTCGTTCGTGTTGATGAATGTATATCCTTTTCGTTGTATAATGAGTAGGTGCTATCTTAGTATACATTAAACTGCTGATGTTTGTATTATACGTGGGTGCCGCGCTTGTATATACGTCGGTCTTATCTATGAGTTGCTTTAATAATAGTATGAGTGGTGCCGGGCTTGTATGTGCGTCAGTCTTATCCGTGAGCATATATAACATGATTTTTATATTGTCACTGTTGCTTTATCTTAGCACTAATGTGTTTAAGTTTAGTTTAATGAATTTTAGAATATAGTATCAGTACAAAATGCAAACTCATCCGGTTCGACGGATGCAATTTGATGCCATTGACAACTCAGAGACCACAGGTGTTGTGTGGTAGCGATGACAGGTCACAAGTGGAAGGGATATTATAATATCCCTTATATATAATATAAAGGGTGAATGCACTGATTAATAATTAACACATGTCTTTATTATTTCTGTTTATTTGAATTAATTTACAAAAGGTGAATTACAAAAGAACTTTGTATTTCTTGATAATCTTGTGGTGTTGAAATATATTTACTATGAATGAAGCAGGTTATAATCTATTGAATATTATCACTTGAGGTTATAGTTATGGTGGTGCGTTGATTGAACGCGGCACTGTTGGCGGGTTTTATTTAACACGTGTGCAGTCGCCTCTAATGTTGGTCGTAAGAGCGCCTAAATAGTGGTTATGCGAAGCTGTGCGCCACCTGTGGCGGGAACAGCTTATTGTTGGAGGGATTAATAGCCACAGTTGCGTCTGTAGCTGGTCTTGCTCTAATGTATGTCCGGGAAGCTTGCGTAGTTGGACATTAATTCGTCCTTCTTTGCTTAAGCCGAGAAATCACGAGT